AAATCTGCAGACTGGCTCTGACTTTCGGCAACTAGCGTTAACTTCTCAAGACTGTAAATCAGGGCAAATCTGAGCAACAATCTGAGCAAAAAATGTCTAGTGTATTCCAGCCTTAAATCATCAATGCCAGCACATACACAATTAATTTCATGTCTATGGAGCAAAAATTTTATTACGAATTACAGGTGTTAATTCAACACCACTAATTGTACAATGTAATTGCCATAATCATTATGATTATGTGTCATCTACACCATAATCATCATTATCAAAGCAAGTAACTATTTTACAGGCAGCCTCTAACATTTAAGTACACTTGAAAAGAAATGTAGATGAACTCCATACATTTAAATGCAGCTGATCCGTCCAGTGGCCGATGATTCTGTACTCAGCCGACCTGTTTGTTATCTGATACTGATAGATGTCATAGCGTCCAGGGGCATCTCCATTTTCATTAAACACAACGAGGGTCTTGGCACTTCCTGTCCGAAGAGATGAAACAACATTATGATTGTCCTATCGTGTGCAAACCTGAATCAGACACTCTAGGCTACATAATCTCCCATGGCCAAGATGAATCCGTAAACACATCAGACAATGCTTAAGACATAAAAACATCAGTGTTTCTTCATAAAAAAACTGTCAACCAACAAGATGAATACATTACAATCAGTGATAAGCTAAAAATGAAATCAGGGTCATATTCTGAATAAAATAATTTAGTGAACTGCTAACAAAGCATGAAAGGATCATCTTCAGTTGTTACCTGTTATTATACAAATTATGGAGCCCTGGTGAGTTTTCTCGGGCCTACAGGAGTCGTCTCAGATGAGCAATTTCAGCGGCATACAGAGCAGCTCGTGAGGAGGGAGAGTTTGCATCATATGAGGATCTCTCGAGATGGGGAATCATGCATTATTAAAACACCTGCATACAGTCAGCTGTGGAGTGGGCCTGGAGGATTCCACAGGAAATGCTGCTTGCTGCTACGACACCTCGAGCAACAAAATAATCAGATTACTCATTTAGAGTCGCACAGTCTGCACACACAATATCTTTTAAGATGTGTCTGCGTGCCAGGCAGCTATTCAAAATGAGTCAATTCATTGACAAGGTTAGAGCAAAAGGGAAGTGAATTGACTGATAAAATAAAGTCAACAATAGAAGTTCTTCCTAAAAACTGTAGGTGACATTTCTGGGGACTGTAGCATGATGATGGTCAGTTTTCATAATTTAGTGTACTGTATTGGTATGACAAAAACGGTACATTTGTATTGCAAAAAAGGGGGGAAAAATTAATAAACACATTTGTTTATCAGATAACAAAATAATCTAATCAAATAACAAAAACACAACAACAAAACAAAAAAACAACAACAAAAAACAAACAAAAGAAAAACAGCAAAAAAACTAAAGCAAAACACAACAAACCGAAAACATCACAAAAAAGCAAAACAAAATACAACAAGAAAAACAACGAAACAAAGAAAAAACAGAACAAAAAACAACAAAAACATCACAGCAAAACAAAAC